TGTAACCCTTCTGTTTTAAGACGTAATGACTGGATTCAGCTGGATTCCCCATATAAAGTGGAGGGACTATTTGTCAAATCCGTAATGCCTTTTGAAATGGAAGAAACTTTTTAAATGCAGCTACTGTATGCATTTTTAATTAGATGCATTTCCGTTCTTCCACGGCTGTTAATGCTCTCATTTAGGAAGTGGAGTTTTTCACCTACTCTGCAAATATCCGCTGAGATGTGCAGAGCTGAGCGGCTCTCTCCCAGTAACCTTGCTGTGACCTGGTTATCTGGTAGAACCACAAAGAATTCAGTCTCTAATTAGTCCATCTGTTAACTATTGAAATTCATGGCTCGGTTTTATTGTCTGGGTCTGTAACATAATGCTGAATGGTCTCACCTGGCAGCTTATTTCTTGTAAAGGAAATGTGCCTTTCCAAGAGCCATTTTGGTGCAGATAACTGTCTTTTCAGCAGTGGACAAATGACTCTGTCTAGCAGCCTGCAGTCCCCTTCATGCCCTCACTGAAATAAATTGTAGATCTCCAATAGCTCTGGGCTTAAGTCAATACAATTTAACATGTACATTTCTTTATGTGATATTCTTCAGAGTTACACTGTAAGCGCAGATGGGAAAGTTTAATAATGATAAATGAGTTTAGTGTTTTCACATAGCCTTAAAAAACAATGACTGCTCTTTATTAAAGATTAGAGGGATTTTTACATATTTGTCAAAGAGTGATTAAAGCTCTGACTCTGATCCTTGTGAAGTCTTGCTTTTAAATTCTTTTTGGACTGTTTGTTAATGAGAATTCAGAGGAATTAGGGGCCATAAATTTCTTCTTTCTCGCTTAAGTGAAGCCACAAAGTGATTACTGGATATGTAACGGAGGACTGGACTGGAGTTTATCAGCGGCGCGGCCCGGGGACATCCATCTCCGTGCTTGTTTCCTGCACTTGTGTCTCATGGAAAGGGCTCACGAGRCTGCGTGGGTTGTGCTGCCAGTGGGTTGTTGAAGGCTGTGGATGCGCAGCTGCATGCAGTAGGTCCCGGTAGCGCCGTTCTCCCGCTTGGAGCCGAGCCTGTGTGTGGAGGGAGCCCCACGGGTGTGCGGATGGAGCCCTGCGTGTGCGCGGATGGAGCCCCACGTGTGCATGGATGGAGCCCCACATGTGCGTGGAGGGAGCCCCGCGTGTGTGCGGATGAAGCCCCACATGTGCGTGGAGGGAGCCCCGCGTGTGTGCGGATGGAGCCCCACGTGTGCGTGGATAGAGCCCCACGTGTGTGTGGATGGAGCCCCACATGTGCGTGGAGGGAGCCCCACATGTGCGTGGAGGGAGCCCCGCGTGTGCGTGGATGGAGCCCCGCGTGTGCGCGGATGGAGCCCCACATGTGTGTGGATGGAGCCCCACGTGTGCGCGGATGGAGCCCCACGGGTGTGCGGATGGAGCCCCACGTGTGCGCGGATGGAGCCCCGCGTGTGTGTGGATGGAGCCCCACATGTGTGTGGATGGAGCCCCACGTGTGTGCGGATGGAGCCCCGCGTGTGTGTGGATGGAGCCCCACATGTGCGTGGAGGGAGCCCCGCGTGTGTGTGGAGGGAGCCCCACGTGTGTGCGGATGGAGCCCCACGTGTGTGCGGATGGAGCCCCACATGTGCGTGGAGGGAGCCCCGCGTGTGTGCGGATGGAGCCCCACTTGTGCGCGGATGGAGCCCCACGTGTGTGCGGATGGAGCCCCGCGCGCTGCCGTTGGCCGCGGGGTGGCAGGTGCCTTCCACACAGTCCCCACGTGCTGCGTGTACTTGGCCCTCATCAAGGGCTCCCGGTGGCCCAACTGGCACAGACACGAGCCCCCCGGCCCAGGCCTTGCGCCCGGCTCCTCGAGGAGGCCACAGGGCACCGTGCCAAACCCAAAACCACCTTGATGGGACACTGCCGAACAGGAAGGCGCTGGGAAAGCTGCCGGGGCGGCGCTTTGTCCAGCAGCACTTGGGCCCGTGGACCCCAGCCGGCCCCGCACTCTCTGTTGTGAGTGACAGAGACAGCAGCAACACAAAGAAGAGATACCTGTGTGCAAACAGGTACGGCTAAAAGCTGCAATCTCCTTCTCTGGAAATACTCGAAACCCTCTTGGACACAATCCTGTGCCACACGCTCTAGGTGACCCGGCATGTGCAGAGGGATTGGACTGGGTGATCTCTAAAGGTCCCTTCCAACCTTCACAATTCTGTGATTCTGTGGTGCAGAGGAGTCCCTGGGGACGTGTGCCCTGCAGCGAGCCGAGGTCCCCAAGCCATCGGGGTGCAGAGCCTCTCCAGGCCTCTTGGCTTGGACACTGCCACCTTCCTGAACTTTCATGTGGGGTGCTCCCAGCTATGGACAAGTTGAGACTCAGCCTTGTTTGGCTTAGCCTTGGGATGGGAAGGAAAAAGATTTTTCTTGAGTGATGAAAAGGAAAAATGTTTGAAGTTCATTAACCTTTGGTATGGATAGCAGTGTCCTTTAGACTACACGAGAGCTATTCTTAGTCATGATGTTTACATGGCTATTTTTTACTGCAAGGGAATACAGTAGTTCCCACTAGTGGTGAAAGGAGAGAACTTTTTCCTTTTCCTTTTATTTCTTCTTTTTTCTTTTTTCTTTTTTCTTTTTTTTTTTCTGTTTGGCTTAACCTAAATATGAACTGCAAAAGGAAAGATATTGCATTCATTCCTTGTCTTCCTGTCTATGCCATTTTGTCCTAATTTCCCCAAAAGCAAAAAATTATATCTATAGATTGTTTCTTTACTGGCTAATTAAGTGTTATACAACTTTGCTCTCAAAAACTCAGCAACCCAATCTGCCTATTTGCAAATGAACTTTGCTGATTGTCATTATTGCTATAGGGTGCCTGCAGAAAATCCCATATAATTAAGCCGTTGTACTGCCACAGCACAAGAGCTGCAATTAGTAATGTGATTTACACTGCTTTTACCATTAATAATATGGAAAAATCAACATTATTTTCTTGATAATGCTTAGGAGAAATGAGAATGAGGTGGACATGATTAGGAAAAGAGACTTTAATGTTATGACTTGTTAATGCAATAGCCCTGAGCTAGACATCAGAATGATTGTCCTTGCACTAAACTCATTTGCTTCAGTAAGCACAGACCCTGTGCACGCAACAAGACAAGTTGGGAGGAAATTGGATAGATGGCAGGGATTTTGGTGGTATGAGCATTGCAGTGTCTTTCATGTGCAGAGTACACAAACCGAATCCCTGCACTTTCAAGTATTCCCCCAGAGGCAATCTGCATTATTCAAAGCTTAACTGTGGCTGCAGAATACTCTGTGACATGAAAGCGGGATGCCAGCGTTACATGAACTTTCATATTTACATCGGTCGTAAATCATTGGTGGGTCGTAATACATTGGTGGGAGAAAGGATGTAAAACGGGGAGGAGGGCAGGGGGAGGAGGAGAGGTGTCCAGCAGAATTGTAAGCAAAGCACCGGCAATAAAGGCTGGTCTTATGAGACTGCCCATGAATAGGAATGATAATGAGAGCAGTGATGAGCTGCAGGTTTGTGTCTTTTAGTAAATTATCCAGCAGGCATTTACATTTCATCAATTGTGCTTTTGCATAATAGACCCAAGTGCTGCAACAAAAGGAGGCACCATAAAAATGAGTAATTTCAGTGACCTTCTTGGTAATGGCTCTTATAAAGAATATCTTGGAAGGACTTGGGTGATTCCTCATGATGAAGCTGTTGTGGAGAGGAGCCCCYGGCCTGCGAGGGCTGCCTTTTGACCAAGGTTTGACAAAGGTTTCCCAATGCTTTCTTCTGGCCACTCTGAAACGTGGCTCGCATCCTGTTTTCTGCCTCCGAGCATGGTCCTAATTGTCAGATGTGGAAAGGCAACAACCATTTTCATTTTGCTTATCTGCTGATAACATTGATTCGCAAACAAAGGATGTGGCTTCCACTCCACAAACAAAGGAAGCACGGCCTAGCTAAGGATGCTGGCTATAACATACATACTTCTCCCTGCCAATAATAACAAAACATCATAAATAATGGAGAGGCTGGATGTGGAAATGGAGAGAGGGGAATACTCTGGTACTGCATATGGCACTTACAGGATCGCTTCCCTCCTTGTCCTCATTGAGGCCTTGACTTCTTGTCTTGTTTTTCTCTTGCATTTCCTTGATTATTCACCAATTCTTAAGGCATTTTGACTTCAGTGTAATTTTTTTCATTCTGTTTTTGCCATTTGGGTTGTGTCCCCATGGTGTTTCTGTGGGTTGTATTCTTTTTCTCCTCCCCACAACTTGGTTTCTTTGAGGCAAGTCTTCAGCTAATGGAAATCAACACTGATCTTCCACTAGCCCTTCAGAGCTCTGCTGGGTTTCACTGGGCAGGAATCGAGCCCCTTTGGTCCCTGATTTATGCCAGGCCATGATCTGGCATCGTGTTTTGGCTGCCCCCTTCTCTTTTCACAACCTGCCTCTCTTCGTTTGTCATTCAGAGAACCCAGAAATTTCCCATTTCAGCCCAGCTCTCTGGCCTGACCCCTCCTTTTCTCCTCTTCTAATTGCTGTTTTCTTTTACTGTAGGCTTCTTTAACCCAAATAGCCAAATCCTGCCCTGCTGCAACTTTTCTTTCCTTATGTCTTTCAGTGTAACAGTTGGGGAGCTGGTGGGAAACGTGACACTTTACTCACATCCTTGTGCCAGCCAGGCAACCATGTGACTCCATTAATCGCAGTGAATCAGTCCCGTAGCCTTGGGCTAGGCACAGAGAACTGGGGATTAACCTTTTACATCTCATGTTTCTTCTTGTGCTCCTCCTGCAAGGTCCGAGCAGTCTCGCTGCCCTCCCCAGGGCACGGGGGCCGGTTCGAATCCACAGGCTGTTTTGGTGTGGGACGGCCGAAGACTGGAGAGGGAGCATCAGCAGAGAGGATAAAGGCTTCTGTTGTTATCTCCTTGATGAGATTAATTTTCCTTCTTCATCTTTCTTGGCAGGATCAAAATCCTGGAATCGTTGCCAGGCTTCAGGAGCCAGGCTCCATCCCAGGCGGCGGCTCGGTGCCGGCCCCAGCCACGGTGAACGGCTACACGATGAGGAACCACCTCCTGAAACAGCAAATAATGAAGCGGCAGCTGATGCAGGTAGGGGRGCCGAGCGCCCCGGCGGCTCCGGTGCTGCCAACCTGGCGGGCAGGACGGGACTGACCGGAGCGGATAACAGCAGGCAGCAAAGGCCAGGGAATGACCCGGGAGTCTCTGGGCTGAGTCAGCCCACGCCGGGGCCAGCCCGGTCCCTCCCGACAGGCAATGGCCCCGCGCTGATCTGCCCGCTCCTGGGCAAGGGGAGAGGAGCAGGAGCTCGGGATCCTCCTCACCAGGCACTGTCCTGCCCTTCGGTAAAACTGCCCTCCAAAGCAGCTCTGTCCCTTTGTCACCAGCTGACGTGAAGCTGCTCAGGCTGCTCCGACGCGGTGGCACTTTGGCCAGGCCTCCACTTGCTCACCACATGGAGAGTTGCCCTGGTCACAGCTGCTGCCCACAGCAATGAGGAGAGCAGTGGGCAGGTGCTGGGGTTAAGCAGTGGAAAACAAAAATCAGGTCGCTTGGAGAACGCCAGCGATGCCTTGCTTGGATTTTAAGGGGCCCATAGCACTATAGGAGCAGAGCCATCCTCCAGGCAGGGTCACAGCCACCCCCAGCAACCTGTTCCTCCCCTGCGGGTCCCTCAAATGCTGCCGCAGATGCCATTCATGGCCGGGCTGAGGCTCTGCAGAGGGCTGTGTGTACGTGCGCACGGGCGCTGGAGAGGCTGTTGGTGCTGACAGTGGCTGCACTTCAAGTGTCTGCTGCTATTCTTGTTTGTCGAGAGGCTGCAACTTGACTATTACTCCTCTTGTCTTCCAGGAAAAGCAGAGACAAAACATGCTGGGAGTAACCTCTGAGCAGAGGAGTTTGTTTGTGGCTCAGCAGATGAACCAGTTTCAAGGTAAGAAGGTAACCGGTGTGTTATTAAAAGCCTCGGGGAGCCAGGGTCTAGGGTCTGGTTAAATACAGGGCTCTTAATGATTCTCTGCCCTGAAATAAAGGGCCTCCCACATTTTATCACATCATGTGAGATTCATCTATTTCCTTACCACCCTGTGTGCTACAAAGCACACAGAGGAGAGGCCCGAGTAGCCAGAGAGAGCAGCAGGGCAAAGCAGCGCGCGAAGGGGCCGTGCGCCGGCGGGCGCGTCGGGGCCGTGGCTAACGGGGTGTCTGTGCGCAGCCGTGCAGCAGCAGCAGCCACTACCCAGCGAGTGCAGCCAGCCCATGGCCGCCCCTCCTGCCAACCACCGCATGCTGCCCTCCGGCCCCGCGCTGCTCCAGAGCCCGCTGGGCTCRGCCGTGACCCCCGCCGCCGCCGGCCAGAGCGGCACCACCATGGGCATGATTGCACACAGCGCCGGCAAACAGCAGGGCCTCTTCCCGCCTAATTCGGACTTCAACATCCCGCTGCGGCCCAGCCAGAACTCGCTGGGCATGAGCTCCGGGTGCCAAACAGGACACAGCCACTCTGCCGTGCGGCCGGGAATGGCCATGGCCGCCTTCAGCTCGGGTTCCTTAGCAAACCACTCCGCGACTCAGCAGCACTTGAGACAGCCGAGCACGCCAAGGATCCCCAACGTCTACCCCAATTCGTCGGCCCAGATGTGGACGCCAACRGCAGTGCCAAGGATGCCAAGTCAAAGCCAAATGGATGCCAACATGCAGCAGTTCTCCAGCAGCGCTGTCTTCTCTAAACAGAACGTGAGACCAAATGCATCAGGTCAACAGTTTTCCCACCAGGCCGTAGCACCGCCTAATCAGATTGCTCCCAGCGTGCAGGTCAGGCAGATGCAAAAACTGAGCATGGCCCCGTCCGCCCAGGGCTTGAGCTCCATGAGTAACCAGAACTTGAGGCACAATCTAACCAGAGGGCCGTTGCCAGCGATGAACGTTATGAAGTCGCTGCCGCAAGGAGCGCCCGCTTTCAACCAGCTCAACGCGGCGCCGGGGCTCGGCCCGCCCGGCTACCCCGCGCCGGGGCAGCCGCCCGAGGCRTTCGGGCGCGTGAGCGCGGCCGCCGCCGCCGAGCTGCCGCCCTACGACTTCGGGCCCCCGCACGGCAGCGCCGTCCTGCCCAGCAGCTGCAGCGACACCGACTTCCTCGACTCCCTCATGAAGAGCGGCAGCAGCAACGACGAGGAGTGGCTGAACAACCTGACAATGATAGACGACATTTTGGGACAGCACGCTCAGAGCTCCGGCCACGTTTAGCAGAGAGGAGCAGTTGTAGATGACACAACTTTGACTTCTAGAAACAAGAGGCGACCTGTGAAATCAGCCACCTCTTTCAATACGGAGTGAATGGACTCGGCCAATTCTTTGCCTGCATCAAAGTTTAATATTGGCAGTTTTTCAGACGACTGTATATATTTGAATATTTTGTAAATTATGTTTTCCTAAAACTTAAATATGGAAGTATTTATACTTCTTTGCTGGACTGTTTGTAAATAAATCTATAGCATAACTTTGGTTTTATTATAGGGATTTCATTATACCTTGTTATAAATATGCAAATAATATTGTTAGTTTTGGTAATACTGTGTATTACAGCATAAAATACTTATGTTTTTGACATAACTTAACACATGAGCTAGAGGTGTCCTTGCAACCAGACTAAGCAGAAATCAGACGCGTCGTTCTCCCCTATCAAGAGGAAAAAATGGGGAGCTGCATTAAAAATACGTTCAAAAAGAAATGGCTGATTTTTAGCTTCATGGCCTCAGTCTTGCACCCTGGTTCACGGGTCCCGCCAGGGCTGGGGGTCTGTGCAGAGACCAGGGGCAAGTTCTCGTCTCGACACTCGAGCRCGTGGGGCGGACGCGCGGGCTTCACTCGTCACATTACGACACCCGTCACGTTACGGCTGTTGCCGTGCACGGGTGTGCGGGTGTGTGTTGTACCTTGCAGCCACCGGCACCGCGGGGAAGGGGTGACGGCGACGAGGAGCCGCTGCTCGGGCTCCGCCAAGGCCTCCTGCGGCTGCGTCGCCCCGCGAAGGGTCGTCCTGGTGCACACACCTCTGCCGTGTAGATTCGTAGTGTACAGGTGATTTGTTCCTGGTTTTAAGGCTTTTCATAATTTCTGTTTTAATGTGAGACTTTTTTTTCAGGGGAAAAGTCTATAAACATTAATAGTTAATTTTTGATGTTTTTCTGTCAGCTACTATTGTCCTATGTATATTTAAGAGTCTGTTTATAAAAGATTCACTGTACTGTAAACTTCTTAAAATGTTCATACTTTGTGTAATCATATTTTAATAGTCACGTCATACTTCGCAATACATTTGTAATATAATGTCGGCTTCAAGCACAGAATGTTTTTTTCTTCATACCATAATAAACTGCCAGGGGAAAATTGAATATATTTTATGTGCTCATTTCATAGCCATGACATTTTGTACCTGCACCTATTTGAGTTAATTTGATTTGTCCAGGATGCTACAGCGTCAATCTAATCACATGTACAAATGTGTATGTGCTGTTGTAGAAGAAAAGGGCTGGRRGAAGAATCTAGGACAGGGTTTCTTGGGTCCCCTGTCCTTTTGCTAGTGTAATTGTAGATGAATGTAGGCATATTCATCTCTGCTTCTGCATGGTGTTTATATAGGTGGCAATTCTTGTTCAGAAATATAACAATCTACATTTCCGAGCTACTTTTTGACAACTTCTTATTTCCCAATGTAGGTATTCCTATATATGGATATGATACAATAGAAACTCAAGCCTTGCCCTCTGTGAGGAAGAGGAGAGGGGCTGTTCAGGTCATTTTGCGGTGCCACATCCATTCATTTAGCAACTTGTGGGGACTGTGGAGGCACCTGCTCAACTCAGCCTGCAAGCAGAGGGGTGGGAGAGCTGGCACCTGCGCTGAGTCAGCAGGATGGGTGTGGGAGGGAGGGGTGGCAAGAACTTAAACTGCCATTTAAGCAGAGCCAGGCATGATACTGACTTTCCAGGAGGCTTATGCAGAGGGCTGGTGCTGCCCATTGATGTGGGCAGCTTTGCAAGGAGCACTGTGGCCATGGTAAACTGGAGCAAATCCCCCTGGCACGAAGATGCCCAGATGGCTGCCTGCTGGAGGGAGAGAGGCAGTAAGTTTGTCTCCATCAGGGGTAGGTTCTTCTTCTCTGGAGCCTTTTTCTCCAGAGCTGGATGGCAGAAAACACCTCGAGAAGGAAGAGGGCTGGTCAGGAGACAGCAGCGCCAGGTGCTGTGGGTGCCTGGGTGGATGGGAGATGTTGCCCCGTTGCAGCCAGGGGCTGCTTGCTCACCTTGGCCGYGGCCAAGGTGAATGCTCTGTTTTCATTCTGTGTTTTGTTTTTGTCACCTTCTCAACCTCTTGGTTCTGTGGGATTTGGGTTCCAAATGCTGTGGGGGAACAGCTTCAATAGCCAGCGCTTTCCCAAGTGTTCATGAAGAAGGGGTTGTCCCGCACATACAGTGTGGGCACCTGTCCTCACTCCTGTGGGAGGAGCCGCACTCCTGTGTCCAGCTGTGGAGCTGGTAGAACTTTCCAGCTCTCCATAACTCTGTTCCTTGTACCTTAAGTGAGAGCAATAATATGATTTCACTTCAGAGAGATGTTGTGCAGAACCTGTAGAGCCCTTGGAAGGGGAAAGAGGCCAAGGATCATTGTCACCCTGGTGTCTGACTGTGCCTGCAACTCCTGACTCCGAAGCACATCCTTGTGGGGGTGTCCACGCCAGACCAATGGCAAATGCCAGGCAGAGGCTGCAGCCCCAGGGCTCAGCTCTTCCCCCTCACGTCAGCATGCACAGGTTTGTGATCACAACTGCCGTGAAGAGACGTGGGGACGGGGTGCAATGTCACTGGAAGCGGCGCAGCACCAGCACTGCACTCAGGCCAGCTAATGCATCGATCACAACCAACTGCTCCATTCTGCAAAAAACACCTTGTTCTGCACTTACCACGTCTGCCCATGTTCTTCTATTTAAAGCATGACGATGCTAGAAGGCTGATGCTACCCTTGTTTTGTGGTCCCCTCGCCAAGGTAAATAGGCTAAATAAGTCAGCTCAGTTCCCCCCTTGCGTTTAGTGGACTCCCAGGTCACACCACAAAGTGTGGAGACCCACAGCACGAGGCAGCGTCGGTGCCTGCTGGCCGGTGCAAACATGGGGCTGCTCTGCTGAAGGGGCAGCACAGGATTTGCACAGCGCAAATAAGAGCAGCAGTTGGTGCTGTGGAGGTGCAACATGTATTAAGATTTCTAAAATAGCTACAAGGGCCCAAGTGTCTGACAGCACTTGCCGTTGAAAGCTATCATTTATTTTCCAAACAGGTTACGTCACCAGGCTGCCCTCATAATTATGGCCATGAAAACAGAGGCGAGCCAGTAAGGTTTTTCCTCTCTGGTTCTAAAATAACACAAAATGTCCATAAAGGCTAGACTTTCCAGAGACCTGAGCTCACTAAGAGCTTGTCTGTCTGAAAGGTTAGCGCCATAGGTGAGTAGGRCTTCAAAACTCTGCAGTCACTCCAGAAAAATCCTTTTTGTGTATGCTATTAATCTAAAAAAGCCCGTTTTTGATGGCGTGAAAACCAGAAAAGCACTCATTCCTGTAAAAAGAAAGAAAATCCATGGAGCTCCTAGGAATAGGTGTCAGGGGAGGCTGCGTCAGGCACTTTCCCCRGGAAGCTGAGCCTCGACCGAGGCAGCCCCGAGCTCGGCTCCAGCCCGCGCTGCGGCTCTCYGGGATTGATTACATGTCTTGCTTAAGAAGCTTTCAACAAAGGAAGCTGCGCCRATGTTGAAGTGTAAGGTCAAGTTCTCCTCTTGTGCAGGATGTTGTAAATCAGGCGCTTTTCCACGGGCTGCGGCAGAGTAACCCCTGATTTACACCTGCCCGAGCGCCCGGCAGCGGAGCTGGCACCTGCGCCTCTGGCACCRACAGCTCCGTGCAGGGACCGAGGCGCCAAAATGTGCACAGCGGCCCATGGGGACGCCCTCGGAGCCAGTGCTGGGTGAGGATGAGGGAAGGCCCCACGTCCCCCACTGCAGCGCATGGCCCTGGGGCAGCTGGTCTGCTCTCCCAGGGGATGTTGGCCCTGGCACRTGGGCCCAGGCCAAGCTCAGGTTTTGGTGCTTAATATCAATTTGATGCCTGTTTCAACTCCTGTTCCCTGTTATACAGGTAACAGATTGTAAAAAGAGGCTTCTGGAGGAGMGCGGTATGTTTTAAATACCAGTAAGTGTCTCTCCTGGGCAAGCTAAAACACAAGTACTCGTTGGTAGCTGCAGGAGTTACTGAGAGCTTAAGACTCCTTCTGGTCAAGAGGCCTCATGAGTGTGATGCCGAATAAAACTGAGGAAAGGCACCTCATTAAAGCRGCCCAGCTCAAACCAAAGCGCTCCATTTAATCAAAGCCATTTTCTGTGCTCCCTTCCCGCTCACCCGATGGTTTTTGCGGCAGGGCTAGGAACAAGCACGCTGTTTTATACCCGTCTCAATCCATCTCCCGGTAGGCGGCAGGTCTGGGACTTGGCTCTCGTCCCTGCGCCGCCCGAGGCGGCTGTTTGCCTGGCAAGGGCCGGCCCTGGCGCTGAGCGCTCCGYGGAGCCAAGAGCCCACGCGCGTGGGGCGGATACGGAGCCCGGTTTCTTGGCCTTCCTCTGCTCAGGATGGATTTTTTTATTTTTCTTTCTTTCTTTTCCTTGAGGTTGGCCTGGCAGGGGCACGTACTGCAGCACAGCTCTGCAATAGTTAAAATCCTGGCAGGGGCACGTACTGCAGCACAGCTCTGCAATAGTTAAAATAACCCACGGCTTCAGCAATGTCGTGTCCCACCAGCCCCAAGGGCCTTTTGTTGAGCAGCAGAGCTCCAAGCTGCCCTTTCACATGTGCTGGAGCCAGAAACCAGCCAGAAGCTCCCGGGATTTGTGCATCCCTTATCTGAAGTCCTTATTGAGTTTTATGATGCTGCAATTTAAACAATTTGGTGGAGGAAAAAAATGCCATTTTAAGCTCAAAGTTGGGCTTGTATCAAAAAGGATGTTACATTTGAGATGTTCTGATGTTGCCAGTCCCCATCAGGGCCCGATGGGACGTGAGTTTTGCCCCTGCTCGGTTACGCGTCGTGGCGTCTTGCTGCGCCTGATGCACGGCTGGGACACGCAGGACAGGAGCAGTGGCAGGAGGTGGTGAGRTGCTCTATTTTCACTCCCCGAGGGGAAATCAGCCCCGAGCTATGAAATTGTGAAATCTCTTTTTCTCTGTGCTAGGGCAGTGCTGTGTTTGACTCCATCCAGCTGCAGAAACGCGCTTGGTTTCAAGCTGACACACTGCTCCTCGTCGGCCCTCCCTGCTTTGTATGGCCGTGCAGAAACAGAAGCAGCTCTGCGATCCTGTGTCCCCTTCCTCTTCTCAGCCCATAAATTGTTATTCTCTTTCACCTATTAGCTAACTATGTTATTTATCTAAGGGGCTCCCATTGACCCACTCTTTAAATCCCACATTCTTTAATAAATATGTTTATTCTCTTGTGCCTTTTGGGGAAGATTATGATGCCCGCTTAACAGTGGGAGTCTATGAGGCACAAAAGGCTAAAGATGGGAATCCCAAAGATATTTAAGTACCTAATGGGGCAAGGAGGCACCAGGGGGATTTTTTTCAAGTGCAGTTAAGCGGAGTGGGTAGCCACGTCCTGCAGACGGTGGTTTGTGTTTCCTTAGGAAGCCCAGCACAAATTTGGGCTCTGTTTCAGAGAGCTGGGAGGATAAGCGGGTTGTTTCTGTGTGGGCTGTTGTGGACAGAAGGTGAATATGAGTCAGTGCCCTCTGTGCCTCCGTTTTCCAACCTCAAGAGCAGGTCGCTCGCGTGGTGTGGGGCGAGCGTGCCGCCAGGCAGGGAGCAGGACGGGCTGGGCAGCTCACCTAGCTTCTGCGCCAGCCTTTCTCCTTGTTCAGGGCCTTAGTTCCCGCTTCCTGAGGCGCCACATTGCACCTCGCCCTCCGGAAAGGTGTGGGCTCAGAACGAAAATGTGAAGTTTCATTTTGCTTGGCCAATATTCCTGTCAACAAACGTTATGAAAGTGTCACCTGGGCTGTCTTGCGAAGCRGGTGGAGCCTCGCTGCTTTCGCTCCGCACCTCCATGTCCTGGCTCTACTGAGGTTTTTGGCTGACTATCCACGGTTGGAATAACGTAGTAATAGCCCATGGTCCACCACACTAATGCAGCATCTAGCCTGCTAGGAGAGCAAAGAGGACCTAGTGGGGAGAGAGCAGGAGAAAGGGACCAGATCTGTGTCCTGATCTGTGCCTAGAGGAAGCAGGAAGGGCCTGTGCACAGCAGGGAACACGT